TGGATGCTCCCTTTCCCGTCAGGGTGTTCTGTTGCTTAGGTGCTTGTTGTATAACTGCATCTACTTGTCGCTTCTATCTTCAGAGCAACAGAAGGGGTGAATTACTTTTTAGCTTTCAGGTTTTTCTCCCGCCCTTGTCAGGTTCCCAGAACTGGTTCCTTGGGACTTAAAAATGATCGTGACCTGGAAGATTAGAAAGGTCTTTGCATATTCATATTTTACCAAGTCTTCCTTTCGTCCAGGTGTGTGGTTTTCCACTTCCCTTAACCCCAACCATCTTTGCATGACCTATTTCTGTCCCTGACTCAGTTCACTTGGAGTGGGGCAAGGGGCTTAGTACAGACATTTGTAACACAGCTAGTACCCCTACCTTCTCACACTCTTCATGAACAGATTTGAGGGACAATGTCATTCTCTTCTGTCCTTGGTTCCTGCTCCTCGTTCTAAAGGAAAAGTCCTAGACTGACCGGCCTAGAGCCAATCTCGAAAAGCACAATTGTGTGCAAAGATGATAGAGAACCTGCCAGATGTCCTGTGCATTGCCCAGTAAGGCCTGCAAAGAGGTACGAGTATATCTCGCAGTCTTCCCACCCTGATTAGGAAGGGAGGAAGCGGTGTCTGGTCCTCCCTGGGTGCTGCCTCTTATCAGCTCTGGGCAGCTCAGCAAGGCTGTCACCAATGAGGTTGGAAAAGAAGGTCAAATTAGCATCTACACCAGCCACACTCAGCCATACTCTGCCAAAACGTACTCTCCCCGCCAAAATATACACCCATGCAAATACCCACACTTGACAATGATGCTCTTCAATATGTATAATAGTGTATGTTAACATCCACAAACACACATTCACAATCACTCCTACCCACAAATATCAGAGCATGCAGGCACCTTTATGTATGTGCCTGCATGCTCACTCATGTCCCCGCCCCCTCTCTCACACACACACCTACCAAATTACACACTGTGCCGTGTAGGAGTGAGCTGATGTCATCCTCCTAGAATATCTCAGCCCAGCCCCTGCCTGCACACGGGCTTTACTCAACCTCAGGTTTCTACACAAGGTCAGGAGAGTGGGAGGTATCCTTGGCAACCAAGCCAAGGCCTTGCCAGGCCCAACAGGATGCTGGGAAGACAAGGGTAACAGGCAGCCCCCTGGTGCTCCTGACGGGGAGAAGAGGGCAAGGCCTGTGTGATGACCCTACAGACAGGGCCAGAGCTGACTCCTCAGGAGAGAGAACCCCTTCTGGATGAGGATTTGGCCTGAGGGATGTGTTGGGTCACTCTAGAGTGGGCCACATAGGTGGGCATCCAGGACCAGGGAACCAGTGGGTTGGGGGGTCACAAGCACAGTAGTTTCTGGTCCAGGTGAGGCATATACACTTATGTCCAACCCCACCTCCGCCACTCTCTGCCCTCTGGCAGTGGGTGGAGTCATGGGTCAGTACAGTCTGTCAGGACATTTCATGTTCAAAATTCAACTCAAGGCCCTCAGGGGAAGGGGAAGAGATGAATCGAGGAGGAAGGGGAGGGAGAAAAGCCGCAGGAGGAGGAGGGGAAGGACCTACTGTCCTTATCCTGATGCTCAAACTACTTCTTGGCTGTGCCAAAGAGAGGGAGGCAGCAGGCAACACACAATGGCAAAAATAAGTGAAATCTGAACCTTTGAGCTTTTAAGGATCTTGGTTCTAGCAACTTAAGGGCAGTTTCAGGAAGTTTCAAAAAGAATTTGTACTATAATGTATTTGACCTTATAAGAAACTTATCTGAAACCCAAATCCTGAGTTGGGAGTTGTGTACAATTACACTGTTAGTGACTTGGGGACTTTGAATGTGAGATAAGTTAAGCTTTCTGTTTCTAGGTTTGTGTGGAGAAAGAAAAGAGGATGAGAAAGTAGGGGGCGTGCCTTCTGATTCTTATTGATGATCTATGCTCTCTACAGAATTCAGGAACTAGCCACCAGTGATGCAGCTATCACACAACCTGGGTAATGGGCAAAGGTGGGGATAAGGCCTCCTTGTTCCTGTCTCAAAAATGCACACCACCTCCCCCCAGTCCATTGCAGCAGCATCATCTGGAATAACAGCCCTGTAGGACTGTATGGGACCCTGGGCCATTGTAACAATAACACGGGGGCTCCATGGTCTAATTTGAAGTCAGCAGATATGGTCTTAGTTCTGGCTTTTTGAGAACCAGCTGTGTGACCTGGTGAGTGATACAAAAATCTACTTAAGGACAGAGTTCTATTTCCTCAGGCAAAAAACAAACCATCAGGTGATGGCCTGTCCAAATACTTTTTTCATCAATTCCGGACTAAAGCAAGGCCCGGCACCAGATCCCTGTCAACAGCACACCCAGGAAGAGATTAAGTGTCTTCAGATTCAGGTGCTGAATGACGCCGCACACCTGTCTCTACCTGCTTTCCTGACTTCCTTGGCGCTTGACCTTGGTCACTTCTGGTCTTGCGGACACCTGATCTCTTTGGTTTGATGCTCTCTTGGTCGTCTTATATCCAGTTCCAGCCATGTTTCCTGCAACAAGTTGTTTCCCCCTCAATGGGGAGAGGTAAGAGTCTCATCTGGCCTGATCCAGCTCTGGGAAGGAGCCAGCCAAGGGGCCAGCTAGGAGATGCGTTCAATGGCAAATCCCAGAACTCCAGGAGTGCGTGCAGCAGTGGAGCAGGGTGTCTGAAACCTGAACTGTCCTGGAGATGTAGGGTATATGCGCATAGGAACCTGTTTTTAAGCAGCTTGAAAACTGTGGAGACAAGATGTCAACTTCTAAAATGATCACCGACAAAACCAAATAATAGATTATAAATGCCAAGTGGGTGGTACGACTAACATGAACTCTGTAGTGGTCAGGAAAATGGTCAGGGCAGGTTTTCAAGGTGGGAGGCCAAGCTTAACTGTGCCTTTGGGAGTGGGGAGGATTGGGAGGGGTGGGAAGGAGGCAGTGAGGAATCTAAGAGGTTATGACATGAGCGACAGTACCGTAGGGCGGGCATGTTCAGGCATGTAGGGATTGGGTACCATGATACAGGGCAGGGATGGGGATCATGGGCAAAATGTTGCGGCCTTTGGGCTGCAGAGCTGGTGTGATGCTTAGAGAACAGTAAGGAGAGTGACCCTGGAGTATAAAGTGACAAAAACTTAAAAAGGCAGATGGGGCCAAATTACGAAAGGTCTTACCTATTAGGCAAAGGAGTCCAGACTTAATGCAGTAGATAAAGGGGTGGGGCGGGGGTATCTCAGATGATCTGCGCAAAAGAAGAGAAAGTGAATGCAGGACTCAACTAACAGTGGGATGGATGACCTGACAGGTTTCACTGCAATCCTCTAGATATGAAGAAGCAACAAGTCTTGGGACTGGATCTGAGGAGCAAAGGACAAGGAAAAGCCAAAAAAAAGACTGTGTTTTGTGGGTGGAGTAACTGGATAAAAATGATGGTATCTCGGACACAATGGAGATCAGGAAGAGCTGGTTCTGGAGAAGAGAAGTGGGCTGAGACTGATGGGAGCTGGTGGCCGAACATCCAAGGGGAGGGACCGCCCAGGTAGGAGGAGGAGCAGGATGAAGGGGCACCAGGTTGGACTGTGCAGATGTGAAAGTCAGTTGTAAAAAATAAATAAACATCAAAATGGGCAACATGAATAAGATCTGTCTGAGGAAAGAAAGTGAGAGGAAAGGGAAGAGGGGCAGGCAAGGTGCAAGGTGAGGAACAGGGGCAGGAAGACATCCGGGGCAGACCTGGCCAGCCAGGGACCTGGGTAGAGAAGCCCGCATGCCTATCAAGGAAAAGAAGGGAGACCTCCCCCAGAAAAGGTGGTCAGCAGGGCCCTGAGTTCAAGAACAAGAATTTACAGAGACCACTGGGTTTAACTCATTTAACATGTATGTATGCCGGCCCCTGGGATGTTGGTTAGAAGTCACCGCAGGAGAGCCAGGCCCTGAGCACAGTCCTGTGTGTGGAAGAGGGAGATTCTGAGGCTGGAGTCTGCCCCCTGAGGAGCCCTGTTCACAAAAGCTTCAGTCCACAGTGAGGGAGGACCAGGGGAGGGGAAGGAGGGAAGGACAAAAGGGGAGTGGATGGCAAAATGCATACAGTTAAGAGCAGACGACTTATTCAAAAAATGTTGGCATTTAAAGGAAAACCAGAACTAGGGCACAGAAAAGCCTTGCCAACTCCCCCACACCACCCACCCACCCACAGACGAGAGTGGATATTTCCAGGCTGGAGAAAAGGCCGCTCTAGAGGCAGGACTTGAGGGCAGGGCGGTTACTGTGGACGTAAATTGAAGGCAGACTCCACTGCCGAAGACCCAAGAGGAACCCATTCCCACTGGTTAAGAAACATGGCAAAGCGGGACATGGTTGACAGTCCGGGTGAGTGATTATGACAGCGAGTGGTTGGAAAATGTGGGCGTCCGAAAGGGGGACCTACTGGGGAGATGGCATCCGCGAGGGCCTCCTGGAGGAGGTGGCCCTAGCCTGTCAGGAAGGAAGGGCGGAGAGGAAAGGTCGGGGCATCCCCGGCCGGGCGCGACCTGGGCTCCGCTCCCTGGGCCGCTCTCCTCCCGCCCTTCCAGGTCTCCCTTTCTCCTCCCACCGCCCAGGCCTTGGCGCGGGGCTCGGGTTCCCAGCACTGACCTCAGAGGGCAGTGACCTC